CCTCTAACAAAATCAGACAATTCAAGAGAACCTTGAGTTCTAGGCATGTTGTAGCACAAGATAATTAGTGTGCGGACCATTTTCATTTATATAGTGCTCTATGAACACAAATTAGTTAGCATAAGTCAGTGAAATGATGAAAAATTAGGTGTCTATGTACTTGTGACCACTCAGTGTGGATTCACGTAATATCCACATTTTATTGACAATATATTGTTGGTGTAAAATGCAGAGGAATAACATTTGGATTTATTGAAGTGAATCCACATCTTAATGCAGTAAAACATCATCCCACTTTCTTTTCACCAGCTATGCATGCATCAAAAGCTTATTGTCATCTAATCTAGGTCTGCTTTTTTAATTAACCTATTTGCTGTTTATTATCAGCTATGGAATAAAATGCATAATTGTTGCATGAAATTTCTTCCAAGATGTGTTTAATTATTTTCTCAATATGTTTATATATTTATTTAATTTTGTGATAAAAAAAAAACAAAAAAAAACAACTAAATCTGAAAAAAATGCCTTTCACTGTAATTGTTTTGAAAAGATGGTTGTCCCTCTTCCTGGCATTTGAAGAATTTTTCTGTACACTTTAATATAAACTATGAGCTAAATTGTTTACAATTTCACTAAATAAGATATGCCCTTTTCAATTATTTCGTTTTCCCCCTTATTAACAACATTATTATTCTACGTACTTTATCGAATATAATTGTTTAATTCTGGATTATAAAGATTGATTTGCATTGTTAGCTTAGAATTTTTATTTAGGACTAACCTAAACCTCTTAAGCTGGCCAAACCTTTAGAGATATAATTGGGTTTATGGCTGAAATTATCATTAGGGCCTGGCATGGCCAGATGGTTAGGGTGCTCAACTCTTAATCTGAGTGTCACAGGTTCAAATCCCTGTCCCACCAAACATGCTTGCCCTTTCAACCATGGGGGTGTTATATTGTGATGGTCAATCCCACTATTCTTTGATAAAAGAGTAGTCCAAAAGTTGGTGGTGAATGGTGATGACTAGCTGCCTTTCTTCTAGTCTTTCACTGCTAAATTAGGGACAGCTAGTGCAGATAACCCTTGTGTAGCTTTGCACAAAATTTAAAACAAGTCAAACCAAAATATCATTAACAGCATGTGTATCCAACTGATGAAATAATGCATTTTAGCTTTATAAGTAGATTTTTTAAGAAAAGTATACTTAATTAGTTATACTGCTGACCAGGTTAATTTTTAGTTTTGCTCTAAGGACATAGCTTTCTCTTTTTTTTTTAATTTATTGCTTATACTTTGAAAACTATTGTTTTATCTCAAATACATAAACAGATACTTTCTGGATAGTTATGCTTAAAACAAGTGACAGCAGATGAAATATTATTTTTTCATACAGCATCTGAAGCCATGTTGTGTATTCTTGAAAACATAATAACTGTTATTCTGTCTTCAAACCAGTTTTCAACCAAAAGCATGAATATGTTGAGTTATTAAACTTTTACAGTTAGTATAGTTGGTGGGTCACAGCTGTATTTGTATATGTGAATCCGTTTAACATTACAAATGCTCAAAGTGATTTTTACCGTTACCAGTGCATGTGTAGTGTAAAAGGTTTAGTGAAATATGATAGAATTAGTATACTAATTACCTGTTGCAGGTCACTATGAACCACCCAATACATCCTTTGATGGCAATAATGTTGTGAAAACTCTCTATCATGAAGAATAAGATTTGTTAGTAAAATTAAACTGTTCAAAGAACCATATTCACATGGAAAATTGGCTGCTTAGATTAAAGTAAAATTGCAATATCCAGTGACAAGTGATTGAAATTTAAAGCAACCCATCTACTATTAAATTTACAAAATGATGAACATAATGTTTATCAAACATACACTGATAGTCTACATTCTTTTAAATTGTAGATACAAATCTCCAACTGCTTGTAAAATGAGGCATCTACTAGATGATAGTGTTTTAGAAATAGCTCCGCAGCTTTCAAGGGCAACATCTTTAGGCCCAGATCAAGGAGGTAAGGTTTTGAAAAATTCTGTTCTTTATGTAGCTTTTTATCATTGTTTCATGTGCTGTTAACATCAGATATTGATTTTCTTTGAAATAATTTAAAAGACATATTATTATCTTGTGCTCTCTAAGTGTAACCAGAAAAATTTCAGTTTTTATTATTGTACTTTATATTGAATAAACTATAACTATGTATGCCTAGAAAACCATAACTTTTTAATTTCTGAAAAAAATATGTTACAATTAAAATTGGTTACCAGTTTGGCCACAATCTGAACTTGCGTGATAATCAGTGATACAAGGATAAGTGCAAAATGCTATTTCAAGTTTGTTTAACACTTTTTATTATTATTTAACAGTTTGTTTATGTAGCCATGTGATCTGTGGGTCATGAGTTTGAATCCCATCACTGAACTTGCTTGCCCTTTCAGCTGTGGGGGTGTTATTATGTGATGGTCAATACCACTTTTCACTGGTAAAACAGTATCCCAGAGTTGGCAGTGTGTGATGTTAACTAGCTGCCTTCCCTCTACTCCGATCATTTCTAAATTAGGGATGGTTAGTGCAGCTAGTCTTCAAGGAGCTTTTTGCAAAACTCAACAAACAAACAAACAATAACCTTTCTCTTTTTCATTTTCCTTTGATATATATACACCTGGAAAAAAGTTAAGCACCCCCGTGTTTTTTTCAAGTGATTCAGATTCGACGTTCTTGTGGCTGATTATAAATTACCATTCAATCTAAA